TGGGACTCGCTAGGGGGTGATGTGCTCGGATTCGCGAAGCAGTTTGAGGAAACGGCCGTTCTTCCTCCTGCTGCCTTGGAGGCTGTCACTGTCCTGCTGCACAAGAAGGGCGCGGAAGGATCAAGTGCAAAACTACCGGCCGATCACGCTGCTCAATAGCACGTACAAGTTAGTAGCGCGGGTGCTGGCGAACAGGATGCGGAAATTGTTTCATACGGTCATTTCGGAGGAACAGTTTGGGTTCTTACCAGGGAGAAGGCTGGCTGACGGGGTTTCGCTGGTTGCGGACATCGTTGACGCGGCGAAGTGCAAAGACGCGGATTGGTACTTGCTTCTGGTGGACTTCCAGAAGGCTTTCGACTCGGTCTCTCGGGAATACCTTTTCGGCACGATGGCGAGGATGGGTTTCCCGCGGAAGTTCGTACAGTGGTGCGAAGGGCTCCATGCTGGATCGACGACGAGGCTGTTGCTGAATGGTTGGCTGGGAGAACCGGTGGCGTCAGGAAGGGCGTACGGCAGGGCTGCCCGCTGGCACCCTACTCTTCCTTTGCGCGGTGGAGCCCCTCTGCCAGGAAGCAATAAGGAGGAAACTGGGAATCAGTAATCCGTACGGGATCGGCTTGCGTACCTGGGGTATGCCGACGACACCACGCTGGTGCTCAAAGGGAAGAGGCAGATTGGCCGGCGGTGAAGCTGCTGAATGAGTTCGGTGAGAAGTCAGGTCTTTGGGTAAACACGACAAGTCTGCACTCCTGCCCCTGGGAAAGAACCTGCGCAAGAAACCAGACAAGGCGTCAGCTTTCAATGGGTACGGTTGAACGAAGCGGAAAGAGTCCTGGGGGTGTGGATCTCACCCTCGGGGATGCTCGGTGACCTGGGAAATCACCCTGTCACGTGCAACGGCGGAGCTGGTGGATGGCAATACATTACCTGACGACATCCGGAAGAGTCGCGGTGGTCAACGGGTACATCCCCAATCCTCGCTTTCCAGGCGCAGGTCTATACCCTCCTCCTTCGGAAATCTGGGCGAAGCTGGTGAAGCTGCTTCACAATTTCGTCACGGGTAACCACTCGACGGCAGGGAAGCACTTCGCGCTCTGGAGTCAGGAGCTGCTGTTTAAAGCAAGAGGGGAAGGCGGGCTAGGCGTCCGGGATCCCTGTGCGGAGCTGGGGGGTCTGGCGGCCAGGAGGATCGCGTTGCTGGCGTCGCAACCACTGGGACTGCGTGCTGATCTGGCGCTCGCGGCTTTGGATGTTCCTGACCTACAGGTTTTCTGGGCCCACGCGGGGTTGATAAAGCAGTGGGAAGGAAGATGTGAGAGGTGGAAGCGGACATGCGAGCTATTCCTGGAGTCCAACTTCCCTTCATGCATCAGCGTATCGTCCGTATGGGAGGTGGAGCAGGAGATGTTGCTTTTTAACCGCCGGCTGCTTTTGAACGGGAAGACGCCCGCGGGACGGCAGAAGCCGGCTAAGTCGTTGAAGCGCTCGGTGATGGGTGACTTAATCAAGGTTGCTGTGGACGGATCGAGAACTCTGAAAACTCCCCAGGAGCTCGAGCGGGCTTTCGGAGGATCGGAAGGAGCGAAGCTGGCGAAGAGGGTATACGATGCTGCTCCGGATGAATGGAAGCAGTTGCTCATGGCGCCTGTCACAGCGCGCACGGTGCTAACGGCTTCTAAGTTCGTACTAAAGGCGGGGACGAGCTACGGGGTCTGGAGGATTGAGAGTGTGGAAGGCGAAACCCTAGTTTGCCGTGCCATCAAGTGTTTCAGGGGGGCCTTGGAGGAGGCTGAGGAGAGGTTGCGCAATTTTCTGCCGCACGAGGTGGTGCCTGCAGTGGTCAGGGATGGTCGGTTCCTTGGCCCGGCGGGTGCCCCCAGGGCAAGACTGCTGTGCTCCCCCATCTGGGTGGGTGATCGGCCGGCGCAGCTAAGACAACTAAAGGAAGGTTTTAAGCGGTTTGGCGGAAAACCGAAGCAGCAGACCACATGGGAGGAGTCTCTCGGCCGTACGATCGACTGGGGGAGAGTGATCGGGGTACGGGATTCGTCAGCTCTGCCGAACCGTGCGCGGGATGTGATGCTCCGGATCCACAGCCGGAACCTGCAGGTGGGGGAGCGGTTACATTTCCTTGGCGCCGGAGTCCGCCTGCCCGCACTGCGGGGAGAAGGAGACACTGGAGCACGGGTTGTTTCTCTGCCCGCGCATTCAGCCGGTGGTACGGGCGCTTTTGAAGGCTCTCCGCATGCTGAATCCGCATCGGAAAATTGAGTCTCTGGGGGATGTGTTTTTCAGGAAGGAGGGTACAGCTTCGGGGTTCCCCGAGGCTACGATCGCAGCAATCGCGTTCCACCGGATTTGGGTCGAGAGGTGTGACGCGGTTTTCGAGCGCAGCAAATTCCGGGCGAGGAGGGCTCTGCGGAGGATCGTGGCGTCTTTCCAACTGCATGTCAGGATCTACAAGCGTGCTAAGGCGGTGTCTAAGAGGCTCGGCGCCATTCGTCCTGGCTTGGATGATGACGAGTGCCGGGTCTTGGGCCACATCATGGACAACTCAGCTCAACCAGCCACGTGGTCCAAGGGGTTCATGGCAATCTGGTCGAACCCGAGGGCTGCCTTCCGCCCCCCTTAGATGGTCAGGATGGGTACGGAGGGAGCAATCCCCCTAAGCCCATCAGCTACAGTTACGACTGCCGATGTATTGTTGCACTTATAGTGTATCTTTGCATCAAAAAAAAAAAAAAAAACCACGTATGATCCAGAACAGAAAAAAGTATGGCACCCCCTCACCACACCCAGACCAGGGCTGTAGAAGCAAGGGCATTTGCCCTTAATGCCCTGAACATTCCGGCCTACGTTTCGAGAGGCTCAACCATATAAAGTGTTAGATAGGCATGGCACCCGTGACAGTTAAGGGCCTCGTTTGGGTCTTCCCCTGAATCAAAGTTTTGGTTTCTGTTTTGAAGGAGACCCCCCCCCCCCCCACCCGAATTCCCGCCGCCATCCCCTCCCCCCCCAACCCCCACTACCCGACATTTTTGCCGACGGTGTTTTTGCGGACGATGTAGAGGCTGAAAGCGTGCAGATGAGTAGTTTGTGTGTACCTTTTCCGGCTAAGTAAGAGGAACAAAATCCTCCTGAGTTACATTAGGGCCAAAGTACACTTACCTAAGAAGCGCTGACTTCCAGTTTTGTTTTTTTCCTTCCCCCGTGAAAATCAGGGCAAGAATTCGAACAGCTCAGGACTCAAAGTTTTGGTCCCAGGGACTTCGACAGGCCTGACCCAGACACCATGAGGCCTGACTGCGACGCGGTGCTGCTTGAGGGGTCGAATGCTGGAACGTTGTGTTTTCGTCCGAGTGGTAGATATCTCAGGGGAATCCTGGGCCATTCGTGCCTTCGGTGACAAAGCACTTGGTTGTGACGCATCGGCACACAATAAACTGTTGGGACCTGATGTACATGGCCCACCCATGATTTCAGAGCCTGCCTGCCCACAATTTCAAGCGCACCGTCCTATTGAGGGCTATCTTACACGCCGTGGTCATTCCCAGGAAAGAAAAAAGAAGCAAATAATTGCCACACGTCAATGATTCATTGGTTGTCTCCGTTCCCTGTTTTCTGCAAGATCTTTGGTAATCCCATCGGCCGTCTCACAGGTCCCCTACCCGAATTAATTACTCGGAAGGAAGAAACTCTAGATTCCATCAACGAGATGCCTCTGCCTGTTGTCTTAGTTGTGCTCCAGGAGAGGCATTCAATGCCTCCAGTATAACGCCGAGTTATAATCAGTCTCAGCGACGAGGAACTTCAGCGCATTCCCACCTCGCACAACATACCACCCACATTCCATCAACGAGATACCAACAGCGCGCTCTCGCACAACATACCACCCTGCCCACCCGTTCCTCAGCCCAACAGGCTGATCCTCAGCATGGGTCTCCACCCGCACATCGTCGTGCAAGAGCACCAGCTCTACGGTTTCCAATGCCGCGGGCTGTTCGCGCACAGCTTTATCGCACAAGGCGAGGTCGTTTGCGATTGGGACGAAGGAGAGATTCGCGGGTACCACGCTTCAGACTTATCGGCGGAACCCGATAAGGAGAAGCGCGAGACAATGATTCGCTACGCGTACATGGTCGGTGACGACTTGTACGACACGACAGCCGACCCCGAGGACGATCCGAGCTTTTATTACAACCACTCGTGCGACCCCAACACATGGTACGCTAACCCGCGTTGCATGGTCGCCCTGCGAGACATTCAGCCGGGCGAGCACGTCACGTACGACTATGCCTGCACGGAGACGGAGGGTAGCATGCACGCCGGCCTGCGCTGCCGCTGCGGCGCCGCGTGCTGCCGCGGAACGCTCACATTCACCGAGTGGCGCTCGCACGACTGGCAGCGACGGTTCGCAGGGCACTGCTCGGCTTATATCGAGCGGAAGATGGCCGAGTCGGGGTGGTACGACCCGCGCGTGGTGACTCGTTACAAAGGTCGCGGCGCGGACGCCTCCAAGGGGCTGTTCGCATTGGCGAGCATCCGACGTGGCGAACCGCTTCTCGTCTTCGCCGGCAAGCTTGTCGGCCTCGATTATCTCCTAGGAAGTGACGAACGCACGCGAGAGCTCTCGCTGCGAGTCAACGACCACCTCTGGCAGGTGCCGGATCCGAAGCGTGGGCCCGAGACGCCCGACTTTATCAACCACTCGTGCGACCCTAACTGCGGACTGGAAGACTCGGTGACGATAGTGGCCATGCGGAGCATAGCGCCGGGCGAAGAGTTGAGCATTGACTACGGTAGCGCGAACGCAGGCGTCGTCCGCACCAGCAGCGATAATTTCAGTTGCCACTGCGGCGCGTCGATCTGCCGCGGGGTAGTCACGTGCGACGATTGGCGGCTGCCCGAGCTCCGGCAACGACTATGGCCGTTCTTCCCGCCGTTCATCAAGCGGCTGATCGTGAGAGAGTCGGAGAAGTCGGACTTGAAGCGGTCTGAGAGTGATGAGTCATGCGAGTCGATCGAAGGCGATGAACTGGCCTTCACCACGAAGATGAAGGTTCCGGCTTCAGCTGCTTGGGTGTGAAAAAACTGAGTGAAACAGGGGAGGATGTTGTGTGAGGATTTTCGATGGTCTGCTCTTCACCGCCTGAAAAGCATTGCATTCGCACGAAATCAGGTTGGTTTCAATGTCGGCTGGTATTCTAGTGACTAACCAGATCATACGGTACGGTATGCATGCAACATACAACACCCCAAGTGACATGTCTAGAAATTGATTCATTAGTAACGGAGATGTATGTCTCGGTATGAAAGCAAATTTAAGTACAAATTTCTGAACAGTATGCAAGTTTGATGCTGTACTCAGAGGTGGGGAGAACAGAGATTCGGGGTGCGGTATTGGGTGTGGGTAGGTGGGTAGTATGGAGGGATGACAGTAGGGGGTGTAGTGAAAGAGATTCCCAAGCCTACTTCCCCACTGACTGCTATGTAGAACAAAACTAGGGGGTAAATAGTCTCGGGTTTGGGGGCCAAGCCTTAGAGCCAGTTTCCCTGTGAGGTGGCATTTCACTTCAGGGAAATAGAAGCCTCTGGCACAAATAAAGCTTACGTAAATGATTTGTTCTCCCAATTACCATTTGCGTTTACATTTGCTCAGAGGTATTTTCTGCTAGCATACTAGAGAAAGCACTGGATTTGTTTTTTCTCAGATCCTCGGGTGCTCCAAACTCAGTGAGTTGCCCAAGTTCCAAGACAAGAACCTGAGAAAAGGGAATTGATTTTGGATGAACCAGAAAATATAAGTTTTTTAGCAGGTCCGACGTGTGCACCAAGGGAGGACACGCGTAAGGAGGCGTGGGGTGTGCGTGCGTAGGGTGTTGGCACGAAGGTGTGCGCACATGCACTCACAGACGTTGGCATGAAGGTGTGCGCACATGCACTCACAGACGTTGGCATGAAGGTGTGCACACATGCACTCACAGACGTTGGCATGAAGGTGTGCGCACATGCACTCACAGACGTTGGCACGAAGGTGTGCGCACATGCACTCACAGACGTGGGCATGATGGGTGTGCGCACACACATACATGGACGTGAGCAAGGGGCACATTCAACACTCTTCTGACTTGCCTGGTCGTAATCAAGAACCGTGGAGAGCCGGTGTGCAATGGTGATGACGGTGCTGTGCTTGAATGACTCCCGCAGGATGGATTTGATCGCTGCATCGCTCTCCCCATCCATGCTCGCTGTCGCTTCATCCATCAGCAACACGCGTGTTGATGCCAGCAACGCTCTGTATGGAAAACAAATACCAGGAACAAGAAGCAAGCAGAATATGTACTGCATCATAACTGCGCGTTTCGGCCAATACACAGTTCTGAGACACAGATAAGACCTGCACTGTGATTGGCCCAACGCATTCCCCTTGGGCGTACCTTGCGAGGCAGAGCAGTTGCCTCTGCCCCAGGGAGAGGTTCCCCCCGCCCTGAGCCAGGGCACCCTCTAACCCCCCCAGCAGCCCCGCCACCAGCGGCTTTAGGTGCACCGTTGCCAGCACCGACCACAGGGCCTCGTCACTGTGCTGCCTGTGATGGGGCATGGAGGGTTGGGGGGTGAAGTGCGGGATGGGAGGGTACCTTTTAGCTGCACCATTGCCAGCATCGACCACAGGGCCTCGTCACTGTGCTGGCTGTCAGGGGGGTTGGGAGGGATGAAGGGGAGGATGGGAGGGAACGGGGGGGATGAAGCGGGGTTTCGGAGGGTGAAAGTGAACAAGAGATCGAGTGAGTGACTGAGAGTACACATGTGAGGGACAGTGAGAAGATGTACAGCTGGACATACGCCACAGAAAGGGCACGGAGTTTCAACAGCGTCCCAAATTCCTGGTCAGAGAGAATCATGGTCATTGTGAGCAGCCATACCCCAGGGGATCAAGGTTGAATCGCAATGACTGGCTAAAGAGAACCGGCTCTTGAGGAATGGCCACCACCTGCAACAGGGGAGACCGTTGGAAATCAAACTCAGAAGTTTTAGTCAGATTATGCTTGTAAACTTCGGGCGAGTTATCCAACAATTGGACGGAAAGGCAACTGGTTGCTTACATTGCTTCTCAGGGTGGTGAATGGCAGAGATGCAATGTCCACATCATCAATGTAGAGATGTTTCCTTAAGACTTGTGAGTCGCTTTTGAGAATTCCCAAAACTCACAAGTCAGCTTCTAAGGCGCGGCAGAAGCCCACCTTGCTTCGCAGGGTGGCGAGGGGCAGCGATGCAATGTCCACACCATCGATGTGAATGCTCCCCGAAGACGCTTCCACCAACCGCAGCAGCGCGAGCATGAGGGTGGATTTTCCTGCACCTGTTGTGTTGAGGCGTGGCACACACACATGTAGACAACACACAACAGCTAGCGCTGTCTTAAGCCTTGCTACAGAATCTCAGAATGCATCCATGCCGAGTGTACTGAGATCACGTTTGAGATCTCTGAGAAACAAGGAAGCATTTTCCTCCTTGATCCAGCCCCAATGATGCTATGTTGGATCACAGAGCCAAACCTACAGATCGCCTCACCTGTTCGCCTTACCACACCTCACCTGTTCGCCCCACCACACCGCACTTCTCTCCCCCTGCGAGCTGAAAGCTCAAGCTGCGCAGCACTGCCAGCCCTGAACTGCCATACCGCACTGTCAGCTGCTCCACTCGCACTGCCCCTGCTGACGGCCACGAGGGGCAAACGGCGCTTCTGCTGTTCCTCTCCTCCTCCTCCTTGCTGTTTGGTGCTGCATCAGTGGCTTGGCAGTGGGTGAAGGGCGGATTGCGAGAGAATAGTGGCTTGATGATGTTGTCCATCTTAAAGGACAGGCGCCTGATTGCTGTTTGCAGTGCTCCGAACAGCAAGCTGGGTACGGAGGATTTGGTGGTGGGGCCTTCCTGCTGCTGCTGCTGCTGCTGCTGCTGTTGTCGTTGCTGCTGCTGCAGCTGCTGCCACTTGTTGTGCTGCTGATGCTTGGATTTACTTTTGGCAGGTGTAGGCTCTTCCCCTGGCAGCGTGGTGTACTCGAGTGTGCGCTCAACACTCGTGAACTGGCATGGACGGGGTGGGGTGTCAGAGGGCGGGGAGGCAACAATGCAGGTTCTAGAGGCCCCTCAAGGTGCGGACTCTTCACCTGGCAGCGTGGTGTACTCGAGTGTGCGCTCAACACTGGTGAACTGCGATGGACGGGGTGGGGTGTCAGAGGTGCAGGGATGAAACAATGCAGGTTATTGAGTTAGGCAAGTGCAAGATGGACGTGTCCCCTGCGGTTCTCGCAACGTGTGTTTTTTGAGAATTCTAAAAAAACACAGAATTCTAAATAAAACACAGAATTATAAAAAAACACAGAATTATAAAAAAACACAGAATTCTCAAAAAACACAGAATTCTAAAAAAACAAAGAATTCTCAAAAAACACAAGATGGACGTGTCCCCTGCGGTTCTCGCAACCATATCAAGCATGAGAATGGGATGTGGAGATCGAGCATGCATCATCATCAAGCTGCTTCACGTCACATAAGAGGTAAGAGAGCACAAGGGTGTTTGCCTCTCTAGTATCTATCCCATGGGTGCATGAGAATGTGATGTGAAGCGTCACATAAGACGTAAGAGAGCAATAGAGTGTTTGCTTCTCCATCAGCACACGGTGCGGAAGGAGTGAACGGTGCAGCACACCATGAACGAAGAAGTCGTGTTTTGAGTCGACTCAAAACACGAGGGAGTGAACGGTAGAGCACACCATGAACGAAGGAGCACGTTCCTGGTTCCCACCCCACCACGGTGCTCCTTTGTTAATGGTGCACTTGCCTCACTTCCCTCACACCCATGAGCATCGCAACAATCGCTCGCACCCTGGTCCCTTGCCTCTACCATGTTCTCCGGCTCTGATTCTTTACATGTTCCCTCAAACTTTGGCTCATTACACACGGTCCCTTGCCGAAGCTCGCACCCTGGTCCCTTGCCATTACACACGGTTGTTTACATGTTGGGAAGTTACTGGCTTTCAGAGAAGAATCAAAAGCTTCCTCGCCTCACCGTGTCCCTTCGCCTCGTCTCATCCTGTCCCTTCGCTTCACCCTCTCCCTCCCTTCGCTTCACCCTCTCCCTCTCTTCGCTTCACCCTCTCCCTCCCTTTGCTTCACCCTCTCCCTCCCTTCGCTTCACCCTCTCCCTCCCTTCGCTTCACCCTCTCCCTCCCTTCGCTTCACCCTCTCCCTCCCTTAGCTTCACCCTCTCCCTCCCTTAGCTTCACCCTCTCCCTCCCTTCGCCTCACCCTCTTCCCTCGCCTCAAAGTATACCGAGAAGTTTTCTGTTTACGATGTTCTCTCCCTGTCACCGTGTTCGTTCTCTCCCCTCACCTCCTCCCTCACCGTGTTCTCCAGCTCAACGCCATACTGCAGCGCCCACCGTAACGAGTCTGGTTTTGAGGCGCCTCAAAACTCGTCTCAGTTCACGCGGTTTTTATATGGGGAATATCTACATTGCATGGAGGTGTGCACGTAACTTGCAAAAGTTACTCGTGCGAGCGAAGTTTCCAAGGCTTATCGATAGCCCTGACGAAGACACCACGGAAGGCTGACACTTGTAACCTTGGGTTTTTACCCAGTGCTGTGTTGGCGAATGCCCATTGTTAGGCAATCTGGGTAGATGGGAACCTTGAATTCTGTTCGCGGTGTAGGTTGATTACTTAGCCTATGCCTAGCTGTTGGATATCTTTGTGTTCAGAAGCACTGATGAAGGCTTGGCGGGTTCTCCCGCCTTGCCGAAACATGTTTGCGACCTGTTCTGATTGAGTGATTTCAGTTCTTGCGATCAGAGTTCTCTTAGCTAGGGATTTTTTTACTCTTTTTCTTACTTGCTAAAGCGTTTCACTAGTACTGTTGCCCTTCCACCATGAGTGAGAACGCCGTACTGCAGCGCCCACCATAACGAGTCTGGCAGCCTTTCTGTCCCTCACTTTCCCCGCACCCCCTCCAACCAACCAACCTCCCCTCACCGTGTTCTCCAGCTCAACGCCGTACTGCAGCGCCCACCGCAGGGAATCCAGCACCCTTCCCTTGCCTCACTTCCTTCACAACAATAAACATCACAACCATTGCACCCCTGCCGCCCTCCCTCCTCCCCTCTCCCCCCCCGCCGCCCCCCCCCAAACATCCCTCCCGCCTCTCACCCTCTCCTCCCCCCTCACCGTGCTCTCCACCTCCACGCCATACTGCAGCGCCCAGCGCAGGGAGTCCAGCACCCTTCCCTTGCCTCACTTCCATCCCACCCATAAACATTACAGCCAGCGCAACGCACCCTTGTCTCTCCCCCCTGCCTCACCCTCCCCACCCTCTTCAGTACCGTGTTTTCGAGCTCCACGCCGTATTGCAGCGCCCAGCGCAGGGAGTCCGAAGACTTCCCTTCCCTCCCTTCCCTCACCCCTGGCTGTTCCCCAATCCCCACCCTTCCCCCCCCCTCTCACCGTGTTCTCGAGCTCCACACCATACTGCAGCGCCCACCGCAGGGAGTCCGGCAGCTGCAGCAGATAAGACAAAGCCAGTGCGGCCATGGCGGGCGGCAGCGAGTGGCGCAGGGCCACGGCGGCGAGGGCGGCGGAGAGCAGGGCGGCGGCAACGAGGAGGTCCAATCGGAAGCCCAGCCACTCCCACGTGGCGATCCAGAATAGGTGCGGGGTGGCATTGGCGGTGACGTGGCGCAGGAAGAGGCGGTGGAAGCGGCGCTGCTGGGAAAAGGCTCGGATGGTTGGGAGGCCCTGAGAGGGGGGAAGAGGGGTAGGGAGTAAAGATTTCGTGGCAAGTTTGGGAAGCGCTGCGGGGAGAAGGGATGAGTGGGAAGGGGGTATAGACTTGCTGTTGGGACACACGGTGGCTGGCATGGGATGGGAAGTCAACCGCCTTCCTCAAGCTCCGGCCAGAATAGGTTCGGGCTGGCGTTGGCGGTGATGTGGCCAAGGAAGAGGCGGTGGAAGCGGTGCTGGTGGGAGAGGCTCGGATGGGGGAACGGGGAAGGGGAAGGGGAGTAGAGACTTGAGAGGTGAGCTTGGGAAGTGCAGAGGATGTAACAGTGGATGAGTGGGCGTTGTCTGCCTCTCTCAGTGAGTGAGTGAGTCCGTGCGTGGGTGGGTGGGTGTGTGCATGCGTGCGTGCGTGGTGGTGAGGAAGCGGGAGGGAGGGATGAAGAACAACTTGGAATTCACACCTCCATGGTGTTGAGGAAGCGGGCGAGCAGCACGGAGCGTGTTGTGCACTCCATGCGGCGGACCTCCATGGCAGCGCACACATACAGATGCCGCAGGTGCAGCAGCAGGTGCAGCAGCAGCAGCAGCATTGTTTTGAGTCGACTCAGAACACAGCTCACCTCCATGGTGGTGAGGAAGCGGGCGAGCAGCACGGAGCGAGTGGTGCATTCCATACGTCGGACCTCCATTGCCGTGCACACATACAGATGCCGCAAGTGCAGCAGCAGCAGCAGCAGCGGCAGCATGGGGATGAGTATCCACGGCACAGCTATGCATGCTGATACCACTGCGGCAACGCACAGGCCGAAGGGCTGCAGGCAAGTGGAGGACGGGAAGGATAGTACGGGTTTAGCGGGAGTGGGATGATGGAGAATGGAGATGGGAGAGTGGGTGACTGGGAGTATGGTGGGAGTAACTTTGTGTATTCACATGGTATCCAGCTGACATGAAACCCCTAACTCGTTTTGAACCCTCCTCAATCTTCCCTCCCTCCATCACGCTCCCCCACCCCTCTCTCGACCCTTCGACTCACATTGAGGAAGTCCAGCAGCAGCTGCGGAAGCACATTGTCAGTCACCCCGAGGTCCTCACTGAAGCGGTTCAGCACGCGGCCCGTGGGGTTGGGTTGGGTTGCAGTAAAATAACGCGAGTGGGGTGACTATTGAGTCTCACTCTCAACTCACATTCAGAAAATCCAGCAGCAGCTGGGGCAGCACATCATCGGTAACCCCGAGGTCCTCACTGAACCGGTTCAGCACGCGGCCCGTGGGGTTGCGGTGGAAGAAGGCCAGCGGCGAGGCGAGCACGGACGAAAGCATAAGTGAGTGCATGCGGGAGGAGGCGCGCAGCGCGGCGAAGTGGATGAGCAGCGAGGAGAGGAGGGAGAGGGCCACACAGGACAGGGCGATGGCTGCCAGCGTGACCAGTGGGTGCGGTGTGGTTTCCGGCGCCTCTGTCCACAGGCCCAGGAACCTTGGGGGGGAGGGGAGCGGAGGGGATTAGAGGAGAGAGATGTGGGTTGCGGTGGAAGAAGGCAAGCGGCTAGGCGAGCACGGAGGCAAGCATGAGTGAGTGCATGCGGGAGGAGGCGCGCAGCGCGGCAAAGTGGAGGAGCAGCGAGGCGAGGAGGGAGAGGACCACGCAGGAGAGGGCGATGGCCGTGAGGGTGGCAAGCGGGTGCGGTGTGGTCTCAGGCTCCTCCGTCCACAGGCCTCCGGGGTGGAGGGGAGGGGCGGGGAGGGAAGGGGAGGGGCGGGGAGGGGAGGGGAGGGGAGGGGAGGGGAGGGGAGGGGAGGGGAGGGGAGGGGAGGGGAGGGGAGGGGAGGGGAGGGGAGGGGAGGGGAGGGGAGGGGAGGGGAGGGGAGGGGAGGGGAGGGGAGGGGAGGGGAGGGGAGGGGAGGGGAGGGGAGGAGAGGGGAGGGGAGGGGAGGGGAGGGGAGGGGAGGGGAGGGGGGGGGAGGGGAGGGGAGGGGAGGGGAGGGGAGGGGAGGGGATGGGAGGGGAGGGGAGGGGAGGGGAGGGGAGGGGAGGGGATGGGAGGGGAGGGGAGGAGGGGCAAGAGTCATCAAGCATGGAGCAGGAGGGATGGGCAGATGTCCGATGGAAGAGGCACACAGGAGGCGTGGATGAGCAGTGAGACGAGAAGGCGAGAGGGCCATACAGGAGGGGGCGATGGCCGTGAGGGTGAGAAGTGGGGGAGGGGATGGCGAGAGGAGGTGATGGGGGGGCGTGCATGAGAGAGAAAGGGAGCGTGAGGGAGGAATTTCCTCACCAGCTGACGAGGGCGTTGGAGACGTGTGCGGCGAGGAAGAGGGCGGCAAAGAGCAGCAGAGGCAGCACGCGGATCTTTCTGGCGTAGCCCCAAAACACCAACAGGGGGATGGCACCGCGCTGCCACCCTTCCACGTCCAGCAGGCCTGCAGGCACACACAGCGATTGGGGTTAGCGTCGGATGGGACAGGGGGGAGCATGGAAACACACATGATCGCGTGGGACAGGCAGTGGAAAGCCACGCACACGTTTGCATGCCTACGTTTGCATGCCTACGTTTGCATGCCTACCTTGCTCATCACCTTCTGTGGACCCACTCTCCTCCTGCTCTCCCTCCCCCCTCCGAAAGAGGGAGTAACTCTCTGCTGCTAATGGTCCTTCTCTTGACTTGCACAACGAGCCCTCAGCAGCCTGGTCCTCAAGTGAGACACGCTCCCCCTCCCTGCATGCGTCTACCACTCCCTTCCCCACCTCCGCTGTCTCCACCTCAGCCTCTGTCCCTAAGAGCACCTCTTTCTCACTTCCTCTCAATGACGTGTTTCTATGAATGCCGTCCTTAGTCAACTGAATCTTCTCCACCTCATCCCCTGTCCCAATGAGGGCCGCAGCCTCTGCCTGCTCCACCTCTGCCCTTTCCTCGCTTCCTCTCACCGACGAGTCCCCATGAATGCCCACCCTGCAGCCCCTCGTGCCGACTGTTGGCGCATCTGTGTCTCTCTCGCTGCCTGTGCCACGATCTACACAGCTGCCACTGCTGCTGCCCGCTGTGTCGCCAGTTTTGCACCTCTGTGAATGAACAACGGTGCCGTCCACACCCGTGTTAGTGGTGACAGTTGCATTGCCAGCAGCAGCACAGTCACCGCCAGTGACAGTGGCACACATGGCACTGTCAGAGCCAGTGTCACGTTTGCTGCTGCAGACCACCGTGGTGCCGCTTTTGCAGCTCCGTGAATCAGCAATCGTGCCGTCCACACCCGTGTCAGTGGTGACAGGGGCACAGACGACCGTACCAGAAACAGTGACAGTGGCACACATGGCACTGTCAGAGCCAGTGTCTGAAACACCCCTCCCACCAGAGAGAGGTTGCCCCAGTGCCGGAGGGGGATGGTCACAGTGTTGTTGCGCAGAGGGCAGGGTGCATATGTCACTCCATGTGCTTTGAGGTGCCTCAAAAGCTTTGAGGGGCTTCAGAAGTTGTGCAAAGGGCAGAGGGGGGTTGTCGCAGTTTTGTTGAGCAGAGGGCAGGGCGCAGAGGTCACTCCATGCGCCACACGCCGCTGCTCTGCCGCTGTTCAGCACCAACACTCTGTGGCAGCTGGGGATGAGGGAGAGGGAGGGGAGCAGAGGAAAGACAGAGGGAGAAACAATTGTACTATGCACACGAAACAATTGTAGTATGCACACGAAACAATTGTAGTATGCACACGAAACAATTGTAGTATGCACACGAAACAATTGTAGTATGCACACGAAACAATTGTAGTATGCACACGAAACAATTGTAGTATGCACACGAAACAATTGTAGTATGCACACGAAACAATTGTAGTATGCACACGAAACAATTGTAGTATGCACACGAAACAATTGTAGTATGCACACGAAACAATTGTAGTATGCACACGAAACAATTGTAGTATGCACACGAAACAATTGTAGTATGCACACGAAACCATTGTAGTATGCACACGAAACAATTGTAGTATGCACACGAAACAATTGTAGTATGCACACGAAACAATTGTAGTATGCACACGAAACAATTGTAGTATGCACACGAAACAGTATGCACAGTTGTATTGTATGGGATGCAATGCAACAGATAATTTCCGTCTCTCCTCCCTCATCAATCGTCTGCTCCATCCAAACCCACCCTTTCTCCATCCCCTTCCCTTCCCCCACACCCATCACCATACCTCCCAAGGTACTGCACGTGGTGAGTGACGACAATCCGGGGCAGCCCTGCCAGCAGCCCACACACGCACTGCTGAAACACGTGGCTGGCAACGGCTGGATCCAACGCGGCAAGAGGGTCGTCTAGGAGGACCAGCACGGGTGGGGGCGCACTCCGGCTGCTGCTGCTAGTTCTATTGCTGCTGCTATTGTTACCACCACTGTTTCCACTGCTGCTACCGCTATTGCTGCCGCCATTGCCATCAGTGTGTGCCTGAGGTGTGGCATATGCTGCCCGGGGTGACTTTAGAGTCGACTCAAAGGTCATCTTGCAGTGCAGTGCAACATACGCCGCCCGGGCGAGCGACATGCGCGCCCTTTGCCCGCCACTGAGGTTGCCGCCGCCCTCCTCCACCAATGATTCATCGCCACGTGGCATTAGGGCCAAGTCCGTGCGGAGGGCACAGGCGTCCAACACCTTCAGTGGGGGAGGGAGATAGCAAGTGAGAGGGGGGGGGGGGGGGGGAGAAGGGAGATAGGGGAGCAAGAGAGAGCGGGGAGGAGAGTGCAATGGGGACGACGTTTAAGGCACCTCAGAAGTCCAACGTTTGAGCACAGGACAGGACACACGCATCCACCACCTTGAGTGGGGGAGGGCAGCAGAGTGAGCGAGGGGGAAGAGGGCATTGGTAGACGTTCAGAGACGATAACTAGCAGAATGAGAGAGAGTGGCGAGGAGATGGAGGCGGGGAGGAGAGGGCAAAGGGGAGGAGAGGGCAAAGGGGGGGAGAGGGCAAAGGGGAGGAGAGGGCAAAGGGGGGGGGAGAGGGCAAAGGGGAGGAGAGGGCAAGGGGGAGGAGAGGGCAAAGGGGAGGAGAGGGCAAAGGGGAGGAGAAGGCAAAGGGGAGGAGAGGGCAAAGGGGGGGGGAGAGGGCAAAGGGGAGGAGAGGGCAAAGGGGAGGAGTGGGCGACGGGGAAATGGGACGGCAGAGGGGAGCCTTAAGAGACGTTCAAACGCAAGACAGAATCAGTTCAGACCTTTCTTGGCATGCAGTGTACCTTAGCATAGAGAGCCTTGTGTAGCGTTGTACCGAATAGGATGTTGTCTCGCACCGTGCCTTCAATGAGGAAAGGCTGGTGGAATAGACGCACGGGGGAAAGGGGAGAGGAGGGGTAGGGTGGGGGAGGTTTTAGTCGATGCAAAACTCGAATAGGATGTTGTCTCGCACCGTCCCCTCAATGAGGAAAGGCTGGTGGCATAGACGCACACGGGGGAAAGGGGAGAGGAGGGGTTGTGAGAGAGAGGAAGGTGGTTGGTGGTAGGTTGTAATATGCAGAAGTGAGTCAAAGAGGTACGGGAGGACACAACACAGGGATGTGCCTTGTGCGTGGAAGGGAAAGGCTGACACACATCAGGTCACTGGCAAAGGGTGGCAAAGGATGAGAGACGAGTGGGTGGGGAAGGGGTGAGAGAGAGACGAGAAGCAAAGGTTGAGCGGCAAATGGGAGGCAGACCTGCTGCGATGCGTAGGCGAGGGAAGGCACGGAGCGGTGCATGGCGCCCGATGAGTGAGGCACTTCCCCCAGAATACCCAGCAGCAGCAACGACTTGCCACTGCCCGTCTGCGAGGTGGAAAGGGTGGGGTGGGAGGCAGTGTAAATAGCATGATCACAGCGGTGTTTTCTTGAAGCCTGCATTACAGTCAAGTGCGATACTCAGCAGGCAGCACAGCAGGCAGCACAGCAGGCAGCACAGCAGGCAGCACAGCAGGCAGCACAGCAGGCAGCACAACACGCAGCACAGCAGGCAGCACAGCAGGCAGCACAGCAGCCTGTGACAGCCAGAGGCGCACAACACACACAATGAACACGCATGCTGCAAGCAAGAGCATTCCATAGCAGGCAATAGCAGGCCGCGGGCAAGCAGCAAGCAGCGGGCAGCGGGCAGCACGCAAGCAGCGGGCAGCACGCAAGCAGCAAGCAGCGGGCTCACCTTGCCAGTGACTCCCACGACCTCTCCCTCTCACCTTGCCAGTGACTCCCACGACCTCTCCCTCTCACCTTGCCAGTGACTTCCACGACCTCTCCCTCTCACCTTGCCAGTGACTCCCACGATCTCTCCCTCTCACCTTGCCAGTGACTCCCACGACCTCTCCCTCTCACCTTGCCAGTGACTCCCACGACCTCTCCCTCTCACCTTGCCAGTGACTCCCACGACCTCTCCCTCTCACCTTGCCAGTGACTCCCACGACCTCTCCCGCTCACCTTGCCAGTAACTCCCACGACCTCTCCCACTCACCATGCCAGTGACTCCCACGACCTCTCCCGCTCACCTTGCCAGTGACTCCCACGACCTCTCCCTCTCACCTTGCCAGTGACTCCCAAGACCTCTCCCTCTCACCTTGCCAGTGACTCCCACGACCTCTCCTGCTCACCTTGCCAGTGACTCCCACGACCTCTCCCTCTCACCTTGCCAGTGAATCCCACGACCTCTCCCTCTCACCTTGCCAGTGACGCCCAGCAGCTCTGCCTCTCCCAGCCTTACGCTCACTCCCTCCACCCGCCCGCTCGGTGCGCATGCACCGTCTATCTCAACATGTCCCTCTTGCTCCTCCCGTGCAGTCACACACGTGCCCTCCAAGGCAGCAGCACCAGCAGCATCAGCAGAAGCATCCGCAGCAGAAGGGCCAACAGCGGGGGAAGGGCCAGGAGCATGAAAGCTCATTAAACGCTGCAGGGAACGCACGCGGAAAGCTTTGGGGACGCGTCGGAAACTCCTGACACTGCTCATGTAGCCCTTGCCATAAGGCGTGCCATCTACCGTGCTAGGCTCAGTGACATCCAGAACATGCCCGGCCGATGCTTGAGTCGACTCAGCAATCGCCTCAAGCGGTGGCTTTTTCCTCCTTCCTCTGAATCTCTTTCCTCCTTTTTTTTCGCTCTCCCTCTTCCCCTCGCGCTTAACCTCCCCAGCTGCTTCTCCCCAAGCGAAAGAGGCCCATTCAAGCACCAAGGCAGCACGGCGGGGATAGGGAAGGCGTGTGAGAGAAGAGGAGGAGAGGCTGTGGCTGGGCAGTGAGGCGAGCTCTGAGGATGGTGAGGACTGGAGACTCGGTGCTGGGGGGTGTATACTTGGTACTGTAGACTGGAGACTCGGTGCTGTGAGAGCAGCAGTTGTTGATTCAGGTGGCTTGGTGGTGGTTGGGGTGTCAATGGCATAGCGGCGCGCTTTTGGGAGCATAGCAGAGCCATTCTGAGATGGCGCTTCTTGCGGCCTGGCTCCGTGGGGAGTGCTCTGTTGGAGTGAAGGTGGCACGCACAGGGAGGTGCACGCACAGGGAGGTGCGCGCACAGGGAGGTGGCACCCACAGGGAGGTGGCACGCACAGGGAGGTACATGTAGAGGCAGGCAACGGGGATGAGACGGCATTCAGTAAGCTGGATGAGCCACTCATCGCACCCACCCATCTATCCACCCACCCACCTACCCACCCACCCATGCACATCGAGGTATATTGAGGCTTTCTCTCATCACCAATCGGACCTCATCACCAATCGGACCTCATCACCAATCGGACCTCATCACCAATCGGACCTCATCACCAATCGGACCTCATCACCAATCGGACCTCATCACCAATCGGACCTCATCACCAATCGGACCTCATCACCAATCGGACCTCATCACAACATTGCAACCGTTATTTGTATCCACCCACCCACCTGGACGGCATTTGTAGTGCTCCAACCACTCAACAGGGCGTGCGCTGAAACGCGTTGATAACGACAGGCGGTGAAAAATCCGAGAGAAATGGTGCGTGGTTTGGAGTCGAGTCGAGTCAAGAAGAATCGCTGCAAACGTGTTGGTCGGTAACTATAGGCGGTGAAAAGACAAGAGAAGGGTGGGTGGGTGGGTGGGTTGGCAACAACAAAGAGCATGCTGCTTCCCGCATGCTGACTTTTGAGGTGCCTCAAAAGGCAACAGCAAAGAGCATGCTGCTTCCTGCATGCCGACCTGCAGGAAGTTCTGACCTGCAGGAAGTGTGAGAGTCGCTTGAAGCTGACAAACGCCTCTGCTATTTGCTGTATGCCGTAGGCCACCTTCCACCCCATGGTGTAGTGCGGGATCTGCGGGGATATGGTATGGAGGGGAGGAGGGAACGGAGCGAGGAGCGGAGGGAACGGAGGGAGGGGAGGAAGGGAAGTGTGGGGCATGTTAAGAGGACTGTTTACAGAGAAGCAACGGTGCACGATGACATGACCATCCCACTCAACTCAGTCCCCCACGATTGTTGAGGCGCCTCAACAATTTCAACAGTGCACAATGGCCAGCAGCCCACGCGCCGTTGAGCAACGCATTCAATCCACTCCCCCACGCGCATTCAATCCACTCCCCCACGCGCATTCAATCCACTCCCCCACGCGCATTCAATCCACTCCCCCACGCGCATTCAATCCACTCCCCCACGCGCATTCAATCCACTCCCCCACGCGCATTCAATCCACTCCCCCACGCGCAGTCAATCCACTCCCCCACGCGCATTCAATCCACTCCCCCACGCGCATTCAATCCACTCCCCCACGCGCATTCAATCCACTCCCCCACGCGCATTCAATCCACTCCCCCACGCGCATTCATCCACTCCCCCACGCGCATTCAATCCACTCCCCCACGCGCATTCAATCCACTCCCCCACGCGCATTCAATCCACTCCCCCACGCGCAGTCAATCCACTCCCCCACGCGCATTCAATCCACTCCCCCACGCGCATTCAATCCACTCCCCCACGCGCATTCAATCCACTCCCCCACGCGCATTCAATCCACTCCCCCACGCGCATTCAATCCACTCCCCCACGCGCATTCAATCCACTCCACCACGCGCATTCAATCCACTCCCCCACGCGCATTCAATCCACTCCCCCACGCGCATTCAATCCACTCCCCCACGCGCATTCAATCCACTCCCCCACGCGCATTCAATCCACTCCCCCACGCGCATTCAATCCACTCCCCCACGCGCATTCAATCCACTCCCCCACGCGCATTCAATCCACTCCCCCACGCGCATTCAATCCACTCCCCCACGCGCTTTCAATCCACTCCCCCACGCGCTTTCATGAATGGCCAGCACTGTTGTGAGAGCACGTGCACGCGTATGTATCCCGTCAACTCTGCTCGACTAAGGCCCCAGGAAAGACGCACCCCGAGGAGCGTGAGCGAGCATGTAAAACACAGCGGCCGTCGTGAATTGGCCTCCGCTCCGAGGCACGTGAGGGTGTTTATGAGGCGCCTTAAGAACAGAGTTAGCACGAAGCTTGAGCGCTCGGCTGAGGGGCACGGAAGCAAGGAAAGACGTACCTGGAGGAACGTGAGCGAGCATGTAGAACACATCGGCCGCCGTGAGAGGTGCCCTCTGAGACACGCTGTGAGAGATGCAGCTGTCCTTTCGGATGGCTCGATCAAGGTGCATAAAAGCAAGGAGAGGTGCAGCGCACCTCGAGGAGAGTAAGCACGTAGAACACAGAGGCTGCGGTGAGTTGACCTCCGAGGCACGTGAAGGTGGCGAAGGTGACGAGGGCGACCACGGAGGTGAATGAGAAGTAGAGCGCAGCCGTCACGGCGTTGAGGGCGGCTGTCCACTGCAGGCTGGTAGACGGGAGGGGAAAGGGAGGATGGAGGGGATTAATAGACGACTCAAAAGCAACCACGGAGGTGAATGAGAAGTAGAGTGCAGCCGTCACGGCGTTGAGGGCGGCTGTCCACTGCAGGCTGGTAGAAAGGAGGGGAACGGGAGGATGGAGGGGATTAATAGACGACTCAAAAGCAACCACAGAGGTGAATGAGAAGTAGAGTGCAGCCATCATGGCGTTGAGGGCGGCTGTCCACTGCAGGCTGGCAGAAGGACGGACGGGGCGGATGGAGGGTGCAGGGCAGGGAGGTGGAGGGATGCTTTTTTAGGCGGCTCAAAAAGCGTCCATCACGGCGTTGAGGGCGGCTGTCCACTGCAGGCTGGCATAAGGAAGGGCGGGGCGGATGGAGGGGAGTATTGGGGCGCCTCAGAAGCAACCAACGAGGTGAATGAGAAGACGAGGGAGCCAATGATGATTCTGATTAGGAGCGGAGTCAATGACAAGGACTGTTCGAGAGAGAGAGGGGTTCTGCTTTTGAGTCGACTCAAAAGTGGACGGAAGGAGCGAATGCTGATTCTGATTAGGTGCGGAGTCAATGACAAGGACTGTTTGAGAGCGAGGGGGGGTGGAGGGGCGGGCGAGGGTGAGAGGGACGAAAAGGGAGAGGAAAAGGCTTGGAACAAATGAGGGAGGGGTGGGAAGGGGATAGGGAGGGCAAAAGTGGTGGGAGTTGGAGGGGGATGGACTCACAAGGACACTTCTGTGCGTCTGATTCGTTGGATGATTGATGTGAGCGGCTCCTCCAGAGCCAGTGTCTTCACAGTCAGGATGCCGCCCAGAGCCTGTTGTGGGGCAAGGAAATGGGTGAGTGGGTAGGTGGGGTTGTTGGGTGAGTGAGAGGGGACGAGAATTGAAGGATGTTAGGAGCATGCCTTCCAGAGCCAGCGTCTTCACAGCCAGGATGCCGCCCAGAGCCTGTTGTGGGGCAAGGAAATGGGTGAGTGGGTAGGTGGGGTTGTTGGGTGAGTGAGAGGGGACGAGAATTGAAGGATGTTAGGAGCATGCCTTCCAGAGCCAGCGTCTTCACAGTCAGGATGCCGCCCAGAGCCTGTTGTGGGGCAAGGAAATGGGTGAGTGAGTGAGTGAGATCGGACGGGAGTTGAAGGATGTTACGAGGGGAACACAAGGCAGGCACGTGAGAGGCCAAGGATATGCCATACTGCAGTGCAATTCCAATGACAGGTCGAGAACATATCTTTCTAACTCCTCTCGTCCCCTCCCTCACCCAACCCCTCTCCTCCCCTCCCTCACCCAACCCCTCTCCTCCCCTCCCCCATCCAACCCTCCTCGTCCCCTCCCCCATCCCCACTCTTTCCCTCTCCCTCCTCCCCAACCGCCCACCTCTTCTGTGTGCTTGACGCGTGCATCAGTGGCCTCCGCAGTTTTTGCCCGCAGCCACACCCTCCACTTCCCACATGCCAGCTGGTATTGCTCGGTTGTTTGGGAGGGAGAGAGCAGCGTGCATGTGGGAGAAAGGAAGCAGCTGACAAGGTGTGAGGGGGCAACCAGGCATGCTTGCATTGCAGGCACAGGCACACTAGCGAGGGGACATTCTTAGCCTTGTAGCACCCAGCTTCCACTACACATATAAGGACCATTTGAGAAAGAGAGAGGGGGGCCAAACCACGAATGCCAGTGACAACCACGCACCTGGAGCGGAAGCAGCAGCAGATGCGTGCCAATGCCAGCGATGGTGGGCACCCATCCGATCGATATCCCTCAATATCAGCCACGTGACAACCACAAGCTCTACCATAGCCAAGTTTCAGAGGACGAACCTGTAGCGGAAGAAGCAGCAGTTGAGTGGCAATGCCAGCGATGGTGGGCACCCATCCAATCTCCCTCGCTACCAGCCACGTGACCAACACAAGCTCAATTGGAGCCTGCACAACGACGGAAACAGGAAAGCAATACGTACGCAGGGAGTCTGTATTTCCGCGCCTCACAATCAGCCAGGTGACACTGACAATCACGAGTTCTATTGGGGCCTGCGTAACAACGGAAACAGGACAGCAAGACAAGCAACCAGGGACGCAGGCACACAGGAATACGGAGAATGTGTGAAGTGAAGGCAGGCAGTCAGTCACAAGAAAGGCAAGCAGCGTTGCTCGAATGGGTTTAGGGTAAAGGCAGCCGCATTGTTCTTGACCTTGCTCCTATCCACTCCCTCTTCTCGTCTCCTTCACCCACCACCGCAGACCCCACTCCATGCCACTCCATTCCAAAGCCCTTCCCCAGACAGCCCCATTCCCCATCCCCCATCCCTGGCACCACTCCCAATCGTGCACTTCGCCTCACCACCCAGAGCGCCTGGCTGCAGAACACCAGGTCGTCCAATCGGCGCACGTCATTGGACAGCAGGTTGATACAGTGCCCACTGCTGACGTGGCTCAGCGCGCTGGCGGTGAGTGTGAGGAGGTGGCGGTGCACTGCAGGGGAAGAGAAGGAGATGGAACGTGTGGGAGGGAAGGGGAGGAAGACCGGTGTGGGGAGAACAGTTGGGGGAAGGGTGGGGGGATGGGCGAAAATAAGCAAAAGCAGTTTGGCCGAGTTTGGGTGGCAGAGGCTGGGAGCTTGGGCTGCGGGTGGAAAGGTATAGGACTAGAGACAACAACACGGGGAGTGGGAGAGGAGGAAGCGGATGGGGGCAAGGGGGACAGTTGGGGGAAGGAGGTGAGGGGATGGGCGAAAAGCACCAGAGGGATTCTGACCAATGTGGATGGGACTTTTGAGTCGACTCAAAAGTCGAGTCGACTCAAAAGTCACCTTCTGACCCAAAAGTCACCTTCTGACCCAAAAGTCACCTTCTGACCCAAAAGTCACCTTCTGACCCAAAAGTCACCTTCTGACCCAAAAGTCACCTTCTGACCCAAAAGGTGTGGATGGCAACCTCACCTGCGCTGATGGCAGCGGTGCGAGTGTTGGTGGAGAGGAGACAACATATGCGCAGTAGCACAACTGTTGGGTCACCTTAGCCAGCGCCACTGCCACTTTTGAAGCGACTCATAAGCTCCCTCTTCTTACCTGCGCTGATGGCGGCCGTGCGTGTATTGGTGGACACAACATATGCGCGGTAGCACAGCTGCTGGGTCACCACTGCCAGCGCCACCGCTAGTGCGCCCAGCCCTGCTGCTGTGAGATAACCCTCGGTGGGGCCGCACTGCCCTTCCCCGCTGCTGCTGCTGCTGCTGTCACTGCCGCCGCTGCTGTCACACCCTTCCAGGTAGGTGACCTGGTGGAGGGGTCGGAAGGGGGAGGGGAGACGTATGCGCGGTAGCACAGGTGCTGGGTCGCCACGGCCAGCGCCACGGCCAGTGCGCCCAGCCCTGCTGCCGTGAGATACCCTTCAATGGACCCGCACTGCCCTTCCACACAGCTGCTGCCGTCACTGCTGCTACTGCTGTCACACGCTTCCAGGAAGGCGATCTGGTGGAGGGCAAGGAGGGGGGACGGGAGATTGATGGGAGGGTGAGCGCGAGTGGGGGAAAGGAGAGGAGGGGTATGGTTATGGGAATGATGAGGTGTAAGAGACTCTCTGTTCACACAATACGCACATTCACACATGCATGCACGCACTCACTATGCGATACAGAAGCACGGCCTTGACGACATGCAGCATCGACTCCCCGAGAAACATCACTGCGAGCAGCAACAGCGCCCACCGGTGCGGCCAATACAGAACAGCCCAAAACGGCCACTTCCCTCTGCCCCTGCCCCCTGCCTTCCATCCGCCCGACACCACCAACTGACCGCTTCCCCTCCCCGCCCGCCTTTCCCCCTGCTCCCCTTCACACTGCTCGTCCTCCTTCCGCCCCCTCTCCTCCCCCTCCCCTTCAATATACTCCTCCTCCTTCCGCCCCCTCTCCTCCCCCTCCCCTTCAATATACTCCTCCTTCCGCCCCCTCTCCTCCCCCTCCCCTTCAAAATACTCCTCCTCCTTCCGCCCCCTTCCCCCCTGCTCCCCGTCCATGATGCATGCCGTTTGCGCGTCCAGCCAATCCGCGCGCCAGGTGCGCGGGGGTGGGGGGAGGTCCGCCAGCTGCAGCGTTGTGTGCGCGCCCAGGCGCATAATGGGGGTCACCTGCTCGCATGATTGGTTGGTTGATTTCAATGTGCATGGGGAAGGGAGGGGGAAAGGGGGGGGGAAGGGAGGGGCGGCGGGAGGTCCGCCAGCTGCAGCATTGTGTGCGAGCCCAGGCGCATTGTGGGAGTCACCCGCGCGCGGCATTGGTTGGTTTCATTGTGCATGGGGAAGGGGAGGGGGAAGGGGAGGGAGTGGGCGGAATTGGGAATGAGAGGCCCGCTGACGCTGGTAAGCTGCCTAAGCTACGCCGAAGGAAGCAAGGAAGAAAGCGAGTGACTTGGATGCAACCGGGCAGCAGCCAGCCGAGCAGGCAGCGCATGACTTTTGAGACGTCTCAAAAGTCGAGCAGGCAGCACATGACCCACCCATGCGAACGTCAATGCTGACCACAGACTCGGCTCTCCGTCGTCTCTCTCGCCTTCCTCCGCCTCCTCCTGGATATCACCAACAGCAGCAGCAGGAGCAGCAGGAGCAGCAGGAGCAGGGGCAGGAGCAAGAGCAGCATTGGTGCCGTGGCCATCACCCGCGGCTGTCGCTTCATCTGCCGCCGATGCGCCGCCAACATTTTCGCGATTGTCGCATGCCCCTGCGAGCAGCAAGCGTCCTTCCTCCTTGTCGCAAATGTCGCCGGTAGTGGTTGTCGCGTCGTCGGAGTAACGCGCCTCGCTGACGCTCCGATCAGCGGCCGCAGCATTGCTGGTTCGCTGCAGCTGCATCTGCGGTCGCTGGTCCAATCCTAGAGATATTGTAATCTCGCCTCCGTCCGTTGAATCGCAATTTGGGGGACACGGGGTGGGGTGCTGCTGAGGCGAATCGCCTCGACTGTCGATGTCGACAGAGTGGTTCATCTCAAAGGGAAGGTTTGGATGAGAGGGAAACACCTGGCCCCCCCTTGGGATGAATGACGCCGAGCAACGGAATGGGTTGCAAACTGGGCGATGTTCGGCAGCCAGGGGAGAGGGTTTGAGGGAGGATCAAAATGCCGGGCCACCAGGTTCGACCTTGGAGAACCAGGCAAAACAGTGCAGTCAGGACAAGAAAAATGTGAAAAACAGTCCGAACGTGGGCCTTCAATGCGACGCGAACCCCATGCTAGAGTGTCGCCCGCGCCGCATCCCCCCCACAACCCCCCCCTTGGCGGAAAGCCTCCGCACTAGAGGGGGGGAATGAAACTTGGATTCCCTGGCCTGCCGCTCAAAACCGAAGAATCCAGCCAGATCCCGCGGTCAATCCCCTCCAATCGAACATGGCATTACCCTGAAAAGAAAGTAAAAAACAAAAAGGTATCCCACCCAACTTCCCTCTCAACATTCGCCACTCGACATCTATCTCTCAACTTCGCTCCCTCTACCGCACTTATCTCCTTCCATCCCTATTTATCAGCCAGGCTATAGTCGCCATTTGCCAACCCATCACGGCGTCACACCGCCAAAGGTGAGATCGATCACGTATGCGTACAGTGTGTCGGGCATTTGTTTTTGGCATGCGACAACCCTTTTGTAGGGTGGAAGTTTCTCTTCCTGTACGGTGCAGCTTCCATCCCCCCCCGCCATCTCGTTGTTTCCATCCCGCGAGCTCCCCTCGAATCTCCGCTTGCGCCAAGACCTCGGACGTGGGGTCAACTCTGGTGGACCCAGAGTTGACCCATCCAACTAGGGGCGAGGCTGGTCATTTTGGATCCCTCGCCCCAACCCCCCCAGTATTCCCTGGCCTGCCGAACATCGCCCTGGGCTCGACATGCCGGGGCCAGCGACGCCAGCGACGGATGCAAAATCCGTTGAGGTATCCCCGAGAGAACATCTCAACGGGGTTAGGGTTTTTCGACAGCAGGCCTGAGAATTCAGGGTTCGTTTCAACTCAGCTCAGAGATTTTCAGGGTTGGTATTTTCCTGGCCCGTATTCCTAACTGGTTTCGCTGAGAGAAACCCGAGAAGGACATCTCAGCGGACAAAAACTCACAGCACGCCACGTCGAGCCGCGATTTCAGCGCGGGAACTCGACTGTGCGCCCAAATTTGTCGGTGGCCGATCCACGCGGCGAAAATATGCCCGTAAAAAAATGTTACAGTTGTCTGGCATCGCGAGCTGCTCGCCATATCGGTGTCGACTAAGGATCCAACGGCCTAATCCAAGCCACGCGGCACCATCGGTCAGTGCCTTAACACTGTCTAGGTTAAAGGAATCTAAAGACACACCCAAAGGAAAGTCGGCGCCGACCACGAGGGGCTCACGGTGGGCTTGCCATGCGACTCTTCAATAATCCCGGGCCCTTAGGCCATGGAAGTCGGCATGCCGGCTTTTCTGCAGAGAAGCACTAATGATGGGCCCCAGCCACGTAACGCACGCACATTCCACCGTGGACGTGCCCAGGCTTACGCCCCTTGAGTGCAGCGCGGCGACCCATTAGCCATGCGTGGCTCGTGACACGTCGGACACTGCGCCGCCGCACGAAAACACATGCATAGCGGCACAAGCATAGGGGGTTGCGTGAAGCGCTGCAAAATCGGAGTCGCTCACGACCATACCCCTCCGTGACCTTGCGCTGGTGCTCATTCCCTTGTCCGTTCATGCGTTCCCTCCTGCTCTCTCTTGCACTTAGAATTTTCCGCTCCCTAGCTATCTTCACGAGTGTGGGTTACTCGTGCGCCGACCAATCGATCACGTCGGCACCGGTAGCGTCTACCTGGCATACACTACTCAGGTCGGTGTTTAGGTAACCGAACGGTCAGAACGCGTCGACGTCGACGTCGGATGTTTTAGGGCAGCATCTCGGCATAGTATCAACAGCTCTACCGACCAAGCAAGACGGGACGACAGAAACTAACTAGGTCGGCGACGCATGGCCAGAGGACGGCCTAGAGCCCAACAGCCGCAACCCATCCCACCCCATGCCGACTCTGTAGACGCCGACATCAAAGCGCAGCTGGAACGCCTCGAGCTTGCCGCTGAGTTAGAAGCACTTGAGAGAGAATCCGACGAAGACGCCTGAGCAACTCATTGGGTGTACACTGCACCCGCGACTCAGTACCGTCTCTGGTGGTCCATCCTTTACCTCAAACACGGTCGACGGTATAGCAAACTACGAGCGGCCGCATGGCCGACGTCGACATGGCCGACGTTGGTCCCCCAACCGACCACAATCAGACCTCTACCCCCGAAGAGACGCTCAAGTTACTCTACGATCTTGACGCACTGATACAGATTCCAGAAGGCACCAAGGACATTCCCCCACCGCCGATAGGGGAGTTTATGAAGCCAGCTAGTAAGTCGACCCTGACGCAAGATGGGCAGCCTGGACCTCCCACGCACAGCCACGGCCCGCCCGCTACAGCCGCCCACAGCGCACGCCCCCCCCCCCCCCCCCCCCCCCCCCCCTGTCGCGCACCGCTGCGTAACCCAGCCCGAGCCGAGCCGCGCCGCCCGAACCGAGCCGCGCCGCCCGAACCGAGCCGCGCCGCCCGAACTGAGCCGCGCCGCCCTGGCCGAGCCGCGCCACCCTACTGTGCCCCACCTGCAGCAACTCCTGTTCCTGTTCCTGCTGTACTATTGCTTCAGCTGCTACTGTTACTGCTACTGCTACTACTGCTACTATTCCTGATGTTGCTACTGCCACTATGGCCACTCCCTCTGTTCTCACCTTTGACGCTGAGGGCCGCCCGATTAAGTTTGAGGTTTGGTTAGATGACCTCCACCTGTTCCTTCAGATCACTGCCAAGGACGATGTCTCCCTGTATGACCACACGTCAGGCGCCGCTCCCGTACCTGCCACTACTGCTGACAGCGCTGCTCGCTCCCAATGGCAGACCCGTGATGCTCACGCTCGACTAGCCGTTCGCAGCCACCTGCCGTTAGATGAGCGCGAGCACTTCGGCCAGCATAAGACCGCTAAGGAGCTGTACGACGCAGTAGTCGCACGCTACTCCTCCCCTGCCACTGCTACTATAGGCCGTCTCTCACTGCCCTACCTCTTCCCCGACCTGTCCGCCTTTGCCACTGTAGCTGACCTCATCACCCACCTCCGTACCAGTGATCTCCGCTACCGTGCCGCGCTCCCCCCCGATTTCCTCGCCAAGAACCCCCCCCCCGATGTACCTCACACTGTACCACCTTGTCACCCGCCTCCCTGACTCCCTTCGCACTGTCAGGGACCAGTTTCTCGCCCTCTCCCCCACTGACCTCACTGTCCACCTCCTCGAGAAGGAACTCCTAGCAGCTGAGAAAAGCATTGTAGCTGTAGGTGCCTCTCGTGGTGACCCCCGCTCCCCCTTCTTTGCAGGGTGCTCCCCCTCCCCCCTCCTCCCCTCCATTGCATCTGCTGCTGCTGTCGACTACCTCGGAGCTGAGGGGGTCGGGGCTGCGTCGGCTCCTAGTGGGAGGCGCAAGGGCGGCAGGGGCAAGGGGGGCAGGGGTGGTGGAGGTGGAGGCGGGGGCGGCGGCGGTGGAGGGGGTGGGGGGGGCGGGGGTGGTGGCGGAGGTGGGAGTGGCGCGGGTGGTGGGGGGGTCAGTGGCGGCACAGGGGGTGGTGGCGGCGGCGGTGGTGGGGGTGGTGGGGGCGGTGGTGGCAGTGGTGGCGGCGGTGGAGCGGGTGGCGGGCGTGGTGGAGCGGTGCAGCGTGGGGGGTTCGGCGGTGGCCAGAGGCAGCAGCAGCAGCGTCCCGGCGAGACTCCCTCGCCCCAGCAGCTCCGTGAGTGGTACTCTCAGCGTGGGGGGTCTGGGGGTGGAGGTACCTGCCCGTACGTCATCCTCACAGGTGACCGCACTGGCCAGACCTGTGGGAGGTTCCACACGGCGCAGCGCTGCTTCTTTCGTCTCGACGACGCCTGGCATGAGCAGTTTCCTGACGCCACTTAGCTGCCCCGCTGGGCTGATCTGCTTAGGAAGAACATTGATATCTTTGCTCTTGACTTTGATGCTATCCTTGGTGCCATGTATGCATTGACTATTAGTGTTGAGGGTGACTGTTACCTGAGTGTACCGCCCGACCCGGGCATTGGGACCAGTGAGACAGCTGCTCCAGGTGCTAGTGCGTCTGCTGCCCTAGGTCCTGGTGAGGCTGCTGCTCTTGGTACTCGTGCGTCTACTGCCCTAGGTCCTGGTGAGGCTGCTGCTCTTGGTGCTAGTGAGTCTGCTCCCCCAGGTGCTAGT